AAAAAAGGAGCGTAAAAATTGGCACGTGTAATGCGTAAGCATAATTACGCGGTCGCACATTTCGCACCTACACATTTCTCTACGATGGTAAACTATTTTATCGACTTTTATCAAACATTTCATAGGCTCGTAGGTGTAGTAATCCAAATTTGTAATATGAGTCATGTGTATTCCCATTAAAAATTATATTCTTAATATTTCCAGTGTTATAATCAATAAAAATTGTTATATCATGTAAATAATTCGTAATTTTTACAGATAAAACTACTAAGGATCTTTTTGCTCTCTATATAATACTTTTATTTATTTGATCAATATTTTGTAAACATTTTTTGTAATTGTTTTAAATAAATGGTTAATATTTATAATAATATTATATATAATTAATAAATAAATATTAATATTTTATTATTAATATATATACTAATTATCCATATAATACTAACAAAGCTTTGTATTATTTAATGTAATACCGACCATTCATTTTATTATATGCTGACCATTTATTTATAATACTAATTAAAAATGTTTAAATAAATTGATCCAATAAATAGCAGCCTTTATATAAGAACAGTCTAAATAAATGATATCAGTCGACGAACTATCGCTATAACTAATACATTTACATGATAACATACATACATTATCACAGCACATTCTTATATTATTCTGATAATGGTATAAGAGAAACGATGTTCATCTCCTTATGAAAGTCTCGGAGAGGCTGTTCCCATCGTTCTTCGAAGTAAACATTTAGTAAAAATTGAGCATTATTTCCAGTCTTTATTGCCCATTGAAGATAATGATTCAGATATAATTTTCTTTGCCTGAAAGAAGATGTTATTTTAAAAAAGATGTTTAAGTAAATAAAAAACGTACTGTGGTAATTTTTTGTTTACCTTGCACGCAAACGAGCCGCTCCAAAAATAGCTCCTCCTATACACATTGGAAATTGTGTTTGAAGTCCTTCTATCCATTTAACTGTGACTTCTCCGAGCATCGTTGTAGGCATCAATAAAACAGCGTGACATATATCATGTATTTCACGATATCGTTGCATTACATATGCTTGTTCAATATCATCGATAAATCTGGTAGGTACCCTAGAATCTGGTGTTACTTTCTAGAAAGAGTTTTTCAACACTGGAATAAAATAAATCTAAAAATATCCTAATAAAAAATCTTACATTCATTTCTAAAAAGTTGCTATATGTTTTTCCAACAGTGCCATTTGGTAATTGTTTCAATAATGATAAATCAATGGTCGAACTATTTATACGCGGTCTTTCTCTTAAAATCCTTTGGCCTTCGGGTGATTTATTCATTTTATTTAGACAATGGGCAAGAGCATTTCCAGATGAAGTTTCTGCGAGACATGCTATCATATCACCACGAGATGGGTCAGCCAGTGATATAACTGCTGATCCTACTGTGAGGGCCGCTCGTTGAAAGTTAGATAAAAATATATGATGTTTAGCATAATCTTCTTCAAAGGCTTTGTATGCAGAATATCTTCGTACCGTTGAAATCTCTGAAACTGATCAAGGTAAATGACAATTTGATACAAGTTCTTAATAAATAAATTTTATTTCTGTACAACTTATACACTTAGATAAAAATTAGATTACACTATTGATATTTATTTTCCTATAATATACATGACAGTGTGTGTTTGACTAAAAATTGTGACCTTGGTTTAAAATCATTTTACTAACAATTATCTATCTAATTTCGGACTGTATGCCATTGTATTATTATGGCACTATTATCCTGCCGGTAACAATAATTCTTTTTACTTTGGTATGTATTATAACAAAATTTCTCATATCTACATACAGTCACCCATAAAACTTTTCACAACATTCAGGTGATTCATACTAGATAGGAACATTAATAAAAAGCTACTACTTAACACAGAATTAGAAAGATATTATCACCATTGAAACGTACGGTATAAAAATATGGACTTAAAAACTACTTTATAACTCCATATTCATAAAATATTGTTCACGTGGCTTCACGTTCAATCTCTCATGGAGTTCATTGTTCATTCGACAAAAAAAAAAGTTTTCTTCCAGATTTAAATGCAATGCAACAGCAGCAGCAGTACTTTCAGTTTATAAATACTATATTGTTTGTGCAAGTAGCATGTTAAAACACGTGCTAAATATTACTGTACATCATATAGATTGTATTCTTGAACTTTCTTCCTGATTAATTGGAGAATATTTAGATTCTATCGATTCCTTTCTACGGAAGGTTACCCATGTGTATACTAGACTACCTACAACGCTTAAATTTAAACCTACAAAGTTAATCCAAGAAAATATATAATCGCCGCCGATGACCATACCGAGATAAGTTACACAAATATTCTTTAAACATCCTATTATGGTAGTAGTCAATGCAGAATTATATAGCGTGCAAAGAATAACACTGTAAGATAATATAAAGCCCATAACGCAGGATAAAGCAAATTGTAAAACGAATAAAATATTAGTCCAATATGGAAACTTAAACACCATATGAATATCTCCTGTCCACCATGCCATTATGATTGCGGGTATCACCATGAAGAGAGAATTATAATACATCAATCCATATTTTCCAAGTTCCTTGGAATCCAGTTTTTTCTTCATATAGACTCCATTTGCGGCAGTAAAAATATCATTTAATAATATAAAGATATAACCCTCAAGATTAAAGGCAAGATCGTTTAATGCAGCAATTAAGGCACCCAGCACCATGGTGTAGACGCTAAGCTGTATGGAAGCGCGAGCCTTGATCCCGAGAATGTAGTATTCCGCAATCATTGTCATGAGGATACTGAATCGTCTTAGAGCAGTAAACATTGGCAAGCTGAGTTGTTTCGTACCACCCAATCCAAAAATCATATTACCAATATATATCATTGGTAATGGCCATATCTTAACGAACGTTGCAACTTCGAGGTTAGGGAAGTCAACGTAACGTAACTTCTTCGCCAAGAATAAAACAAAAATAGTCGCTAACATTTGTCCTATTCCCAATACTTGAAAAGATGGGAAACCAAAGGTAGTTAAGACCATTTTATTCACCACTGTTATCATAAACGACGACACCCCGTAAAACAGAGCTGAACCGACGCGTACGAACATTGCATTTTGTTGATTCACTAACATTTTTTCTAATATTATTTTCGATAACCCTTAACTAAATTATCGAATATAAACGTTCATACGTTCTTATTAATGCCATTTTATATATTATTAATAATATAAGTGCAAGTACATACACCGTAATAACCTTAACATTTTCTCTTGCTCAGATAGCCGACGAACGTACCAGGCCATCCGCAACACCTACGTGTATATATATATATATATATATATATATATATATATATATATATATACTTATATATATATGCTTACAATCTTATCTATAGATACGTATAAATTATAAATTTTAAGTTACATTTATATTTCATTTATATAATGTAACAATAACCAAAAATAAATTTCAATTATTAACTTCAACAACTTTCAAACACTATTAATTTACAAGTAAATAATATTTTTGCAAATTTATTACTAACTTTAATTATGTTTCATTTTCTTGTTCCTATGTGGCGTCACGAACGTTCAAAATGTCGTCACGTTTTAGTCATTGGATGCACCGTACCAAAAAGCTATGAATAAAAGGGTATAGTGGACATGTAATAAGTAAAACTGACATACAAGATTATTTCTGTATTTATTAGATATATGTTATCTATTAATTTATTTTTAAAATTACAAATACATTTGGTATGTTAAAAGAGTTTACAAATTATCGTTATGCAACATTGGTACTATGATAAAATAGTAATACATAAGAAATAATGTAAGTTGTTTGATATTTGAATAAACATATTCTTTTTCTCTTACTAAATAATAATATTTATGACAGAATTATTTATTTTTCTTATTAAAAATATGATTTTTTCTGTTATCTTGTTTTATAGGATAAGCTAAAATATCTTTGATTTATTATCAAGAATATTTTTATGATGTTATACTTTTTCACTCCACGAATATGTCGCAATCTACTACCATGCACTTCGACATCGAAACTATTAACCACTTTGGTATGAATAACTTGTAATATTTAATTATTTTTAACTAAAACACATTGTTGAGAGAATATTGTATTTAAAGATATTAATGTTTTTTAGTACTCCACCTGTTCGAAACAAAAACCGAAAGAAGTTGTAAATATGCACGAACCAGATATAGAAATAAGAGAAAAAAGCCACAATCATATTAGTCCTGGGAATACACAAATAGGATTAGATCCTGACAAATATGTTTTACCAAAAACTCCTAGTCTTAATAGTAACAAGGAAACAACCCGTCCATTCGAAGAACCACAATGGAAACCTATGCAAGTAGAGTTTACACATCTTCATAAATATTGTTTGAAGTTATCCAAAATTAGATTAACTTGTAAGTAAGATAATGTATATATATTTTTTTTTAATCAATTTCCCTCAACTATTTTAATATAATGCTTCTAATTCTTTTATTTAGCTTTAGTTGTAATAACAACCATGGGTGGATATGCGATAGCACCTGGCATGTTTGACTTATATACATTCACAATGTGTTCCGTAGGCACTGCATTAGTATCTTCTGCTGCTAATGCTGTTAATCAATTTTTTGAAGTTCCTTTCGATGCACAGATGTCAAGAACAAAGAATAGAGTTTTAGTTCGTGGACAATTAACGTAAGTCAACATTTAAAGTATCATGGTATTATGATGAAATAACTAAAATTAAATTTTCCTTTGTTTTTAATATCAGTCCGGTGCATGCAGTATTATTTGCAACTATATCAGGAGTAACCGGCTTAACTATATTGTATAGTCAAGTCAATCCTATAACTGCAACGTTAGGTGCTATTAATTTAGTTCTATATACTCTTATTTATACTCCTATGAAACGTATTAGTATTCTCAACACTTGGGTTGGTTCTATTGGTAAGTAAAATCATTTTCTTTTTTTAATTAATCTAATCTATTTAATATTACATCTCTTAAATATTGACTTTTCTTTTTATAGTCGGTGCCATACCACCACTTATGGGTTGGGCAGGTTGCACAGGCGACATAATGGCTCCAGGAGCTTGGATTATGTCTGGTCTTTTGTATGCCTGGCAATTTCCTCATTTTAATGCTTTATCCTGGAATTTGAGACCTGATTATTCGCGTGCAGGCTATAGAATGATGTCCGTTACGAATCCTAATCTTTGTCGTAAAACAGCATTAAGATATACGGCTGCGTTAATGGGATTGTCTTACTTAGCTCCTGTATTAGATGTAACTAATTGGTACTTTGCTGCTATGTCAACGCCGCTAAACGCTTATTTTCTTTATCTTGGTAAGTTATTTTCTTTATATTGTAATAACTTTTAACATTCATTAATATTTAATTCCTATTTCTACACTTACAGCTTGGAAATTTTACCAAAACTCAGATAGCGCGAGTTCTAGAAAACTCTTTCGTTTTTCATTGGTATATTTACCTGTGTTAATGATTTTACTGCTTGTAAATAAAAAGTATTGGTTCATCGGTAAAAAAAAAACAGATACAGTAACGAACGATGAAAATTATCAGAAAGAAGCTTTCTTATCAAATCTTTCGAGATTAATTATACCAACAACATCGTCCGTTTAATGCGATAACACAAATTATGTCATCGCAAGTGACATCGTTAACGCTATCATATTCTTTATAAAATTGTAAATGTGTATTATAATTATGAACTAAAATATTTTTTAAAGTACAAACTCTTGTAAATATTATAGTAGAATTCATAAATAATTATATGACTTGTTTCAAACAATCATCACATTAGATGCAGAAACGAGCATCATAAAAATTGTAACTCAATTATTAGATTATTGACAAAGATACCTAAGTGTAATTTATATTTGAATAGATAGTTAATTATATAAATTTGTGATGGAAATAAACACAAACACACATCTGTGGATCAGATTTTATTTAGAAGACTTCGAAAGAGAACAGCTTTTTTATTATTCGAACAATGTAATTAAAAAACTTACTCAATAGAGTTTAATAATAATAATAATAGAGTTAATTGATAATTGAAGCAATATAATCAATCTACATAAATACAAATATTGTATTATTGATTGTAAATAGTAATTATCTATTTATTTCAAACAATTCTATTGATTACAAATTTCTCAATCATGTCTCCATATCGAAAATCCTTGTGTACAGCTTCCTTTTTTGCTTTTGCATAAAAAAAGATAGTAAAAAACGATATTAACTGATTGGTTTGACAGACATTAAATTATTAAAACGTATATGATATTTGAAGTAAAATGAAAATTATACAACTTTGTTATTAATGTGTACTTCAATATCTATGAAGATTACATTTTTACATTACATATAACTAATATAAAATATTACATAGTTTTTAAAATACTATTCCAAAACCATATTCACGTATTATTTTATTAATCTTATAAAAATGATAGCTATTTATCAATAACTGAATATATTTTGATAATTCTTTGCCTATATAACAAATACAAATATGATCTTAATATTTTGCACGTAAAACTTGTTCTGATTCAAATAGTCAGTTAGTAGCCAGTTCTTTTTTTAAATTTTCAGCAAGTTTATCCATAAAATCAAATGTTTCTAAATAGTCACTTCTAGTAACATTATGCATTCCTTTAATACAGATAGCCAGATCCTTAGTCATAAAACCTGATTCTATTGTTTGAATACATACTTTTTCTAAAGTTTCAGCAAAATGCTTCAATTTCTGATTGTTATCCAGTTTAGCACGATGAAGCAATCCTTGGGTCCAAGCAAAAATAGATGCAATAGGATTCGTAGAGGTTTCTTTACCTTGCTGATATTGACGATAATGTCTAGTAACTGTACCATGAGCTGCTTCTGATTCTACTGTACGTCCATCTGGACATATTAGTACAGATGTCATAAGCCCCAATGATCCATATCCTTGAGCTACAGAATCTGATTGTACATCTCCGTCATAGTTCTTACATGACCAAACGAAACCACCTTCAGATTTCATCGCATAAGCAACCATGTCATCTATCAAACGATGCTCATACCAAATTTTTTTAGCCTCAAATTTATCTTTATATTCTTTCTCATAAATTTCTTGGAAAATATCCTTAAATCTACCATCATATTTTTTTAAAATAGTATTTTTTGTTGAAAGATACAAAGGATATTCTCTGGAAAGTGCAAACTTAAAAGAACTATGAGCGAATGCACATATGCTTTCGTCTGTGTTATATTGAGCTTGTGCTATTCCAGGACCTTTAAAGTCGTGGACAGTATATACCTCTTTTTTACCATTTTCACCAGTCCATGAAATTTCAAGTTTTCCAGGTCCTGGTACTATAAAATCTGTTGCTTTATATTGATCTGCATGAGCATGTCTACCAATAATAATTGGCTTATTCCAGCCTGTTACTAATCGAGGAATATTTTTACAAATGATAGCTTCACGGAACACTGTACCACCTAATATATTTCTAATAGTACCATTCGGGCTTTTCCACATTTGTTTCAACTTAAATTCTTCTACTCTCTTTTCATCAGGGGTAATAGTAGCACACTTTATACCAACATTATAACGTTTAATAGCTTCGGCACAATCAACCGTTACTTTGTCATCGGTGGCATCTCTATTTTCTATACCTAAATCATAAGTATGTAATTCAATATCCAAATAAGGTAAAATTAATTTCTCTTTTATGGAATCCCATATGACACGAGTCATTTCATCACCAAGAATGTCTACGACAGGTCCTGCCTAAAAATAATGATTTAAAAAAAGAGAATAAAAAAAATTATATTTTAAAAATATTAATTATAAAAAGATACCTTCTAATACGTGTTTTTTTTTAAATCAATTGTCTATGACTAAGCATATTTAAAAAACAATATTTCTGAACATATATTACACGTTATAATTTATATAAATACATATATATTGAAAATAAAATTATAATAAGATAGTTTAACGTATAAGAAATAATCTAATAAAAATATATGTAAATGTATCATTCATCTTGATATTTTATGAATATGTAGGTATATACATATATCTCGTACGAAATATTAATATATCATGTACATTATTTATGTCATCTTATCATTTCTCATTTTTTATCATTTTAAAATCTTATGATATGCTTTCAAAAATCAGTCATTATATAATTAAGATGAAAAGGAATGAATTTCATATATGCAGATAATAATTGTTTTTTTTTTTTAATTAATTACTTATTTTTTATTTATATAATTATTTATTTTTACTTACTTGTATTTTCGCCATATTTACTGATGAGATAGAAAACGTTCTTGCCAATGAGTATGTTATTGAACTACCTCTGAGAAATCTTTCAATCGATTGACACGATGACGTGACACTGTTACTACCGAATTGACAACAAGGTGTAGCCTTTAAAAAAAACGTATTGACTCTTACGAAGCGGTGGGGTGAAAACATGGCAACTTTACCATCTATACAATGGAAAACAATTTTTTAATTAATTCTTTTTTTCTTCTTATCTTTCTCCTTAATTTTATGTTCAATTTTATTTTCTTCTTTTCTTTTCCAACTGAACGTTGCAAACTTAATAATCTTGGTAGAAGCATGTATCTCTAGTAAGAGAGACAATTATTAAAAAGATATTTCCATCTTTCTTATCATTTAAAAATACAAAAGAAAAAAAAAATTCTACAACCTTGGAATTTGTACTTTAAAATATCTTCAAGCAAATAGCACGCGAAATGCTATAAGAACATACGATACTGTATTTGCTCTAAATTAAACACCATTATACGTGTGTGTAAATATGTATCTATATGTGATGCACATAATACACAAATAAAACATAAGTATTGTCAATAAATGTCTAAAATACTCATCAAGACATTTTGAAAATATAATAGGACTAATATAGAATATATACTTGTGTTGTATATATTTATGTATGTACATATATATCTATATATATACTTAATCTTATTTTCTTTGCGATCATTGCGCCACCAGCGATTAGATTCTTATTTTTGAATAGTCACACTTGTTGATTCGAATTATAATAAATTCTATTTTATAAAAACAAATATATATCTATTATTTGAAATATAAAAATATTTAAATTTCATTTATAATATTACAATATTTTTTTTACGCTTCATTAATATTTATTACATTAAAACGTTGAGGTGATACAAAAGATATAGTTACAGAATAATAAAAACAATTGTTTTATTTGATAAACAATTACTATCTTTCTTTTTTTTTCTAATAATTTAACTATAACAATAAATATGTTAGTATTTGTTATTTTACAAAATGATTAGAGAGTGGTTAGGAAGCAATGATTGCTTCATCCCAAGGACCATAAATATTATTTTTAAATTGTTTACATCTAATGTACCAAAGTGGACAAATGAAATGAATGAATATTATAACTACGATAAAAACATAAGAACATATTTTAGACATAGGTAATAATAAATATACCGTCCCTGTGGTTATTATGATTGATATTATTAGTTTGTTATTTATATGAGACAATAATATAGGAAATAATACAAAAAATTGTACTGAAACTGTTAAAAGTGAAAATGCATGTAAAGGGGTAGCAAGTCTGGATGCTAACATTAAAGAACCAAAAATAGATGACGTTATAGATAAGGAATCAGAAAAAAATATTTGCGATGAACCATACTTATTAAATATTAAATGAATGAAAAACATTAATATAGTCATAGCATATATTGTGTCTGTACTAATTGTTTCTGTTAATGTTCGCAAGACTGGTGATAAAGTATATCCAAAAATAAGAAAAATTAAAGTTGTTCTAAGATCTTCCGACAATCTTTTAGACATATATAATATTTTGATATTATAATATAAATATCCAACAATGGTTAAAATTATTTCTGACATAATAATAACATTCGGAGTGGTCCATTCATTATATAACCAAATAAATATGATAGCAAAGAGAATTGGAATACTTAAACATATCGATATGCTTGCACCTAAATTGATGGCTTCTAATCGAGAAACATGATTTGATTTTACATTCCTACGTAATTTGGTCAAAAATGTACTGTCTGTATAATTGTCTGGTAAATCAGTAAATTCATAAAGATTTTTTTTCCATTTAACACTTTTGTACATTTCATATATATATATATATTAATTTCTAATCAATTAATATAATTACAAATATAAATGGAATGTTATTATTTTCCTTCTATAACAAGTTAACGCTGAACACTGAAAATTGTAAGATATTTATAATGAAAACATATTATAACTGATAAATTATTATTTTAATCAATTGAAAAGTACAATATCACTTACTTGGTTACATATTAGACAACTTTATATTTTTCAAAAAATCATTAGGTTATAAATAAAAATGATATTAATTTATGATGATTTATTATAAATTCAACATAACACCTGCAATTGAATCTTCTGTTGTTGATTTGAAAATCACTTTGACGTTTAAAAGCTCCATATTTTTAACTAGTGAAAACGGATATACATGTATATACACATGTATGCATTTTCATGAAATATCCAATTTAAATCGAAAACATTGATTGGACAACTAGTTTAATGCTATCAAATATTATTGGTACACTTTCATAATAAAAATTATTATTTATATACATTGTGTGTAAAGAAAAGAGACGAATTTTGTCTTGATTAATTAAATATTTCTTTATTTCCTCCATCTTTATAAATAAACCAAAAATGTTATATAAATTAAATTAAAAACAGAAATATATATAGAATCGAATTAGATTAATAGTTAAATAATTCATATAATTAATTTTGAAATATCTATAACATACTAAAATATAAGTACATAAATATTAAAATATAAAATATGTTTCCGTTATGCCATCTGTTGTTTAAGAAAGATGTAGCAAAGAGAGTGTTCGTGCATCCACGTATACCGTTTATCGTTAGTACTTGTTTGTGGTCTGGGAATATGAATAGAGAGCATAGTAAAAGTAATTATGTTCGTGAAATCAAATAGATTCGAATATTAATATTTCAATTTAATTAATGTAGGTATTAATAAATCGTGAAAATATTTCTAAATAATTATCGTAGTCGATAAAAACAATAGTATCGATAGTTGGAAAGAATTAATCGGACATCTTTTATATGTGTACAAGTTTTCCCTATGATCCGCTGCAGAACTCGGGTAGTATCATTTCTTTCTTGCATATTCTCCCCCTTGCCCGTCAACCCTTAACTACCTTCCCCCATTTCGGTGTATACGAGTATGAAGAGTATCTCGGTTTCTTGTCAAGTCCTTCGTCTTATTAGTAAATGTAATATGCACTAGTGATAATAAAGGTTTACGTTTAACTAAACCACATATAATATAGATATATCGCGTTTAGGTGTCGAGCGCGATTAACCTTGTGAAGCCGATCCTCGGCTGTTTTTCAATGAGCGAATGAAGAATATTCGGTACGTTTAAGAGTGGTATGTCAGTGTGTATACACAGTACGATATTACCGTAAGCGAAGAGAAAGAAGAGGATAATCATTTTATACAAATCTTCTTTGAACATTTCATTCGACATGATGAAGAATAGTGCTTTGCCAAAGAAGGAGGGCAAAATGCGTATACGTGCTTTTCCGGTAAGAAAATTTTATATTATAATAATATATATGTACGTCTATCTCTCTATCCCTCTCTATCTTTTTTTTTCTCTCTTTCTTTCCCTCTCTATCGAGACGAGATGGAAGAAAGAAAGAAAGAAAGAAGGAGAAAGACAGAGTATAATCAAGCTATTAAATGTAACACGTACATATACTCCCATTAAATTTATATATATGATACATATATATATATATATATAGTTACGCACTTATCACACTTAAATATTACTTTTCCCTTATTTTTATTAATTATTCATACCACTTTCTCTTCTTTTTTAGTTTATTATGATTATTAGTATTATTAAACTAAAAATCATGAAATTTATCGATGACACTTATTTAATATAATATCGTTTTCACTAATATATGTATATATATATATATTATATTTCAAAGTATTTTTAAAATTTTCTATGTGCACACTTCCGTTAAATCAAATTTATTTTCTGTATATCAATTTCCTTTTTAACCTTTTATTTGCCTTGTTTCTAAAACGTTATTGAATAGGTTAAGTGAATTCGAAATTAGTTATATTAATTTTTGTTAGTTATAATTAAACTCGTTTATGCGTGGTTCTTACTTTTCAATTCATCAATGAATATGTTTATGTATAGAAAGGTTTGAAGTTCATTGCATTTAAATATTTACTTGCTATTTACTGATATAAGAATGAATTGTTTCTTTTTTTATCTTCTAATATTATAATTATTAATATAGTTTATAATGGTTCACTTGTAATGGAAGTTTATGATTTGATTCAACAGGAAAAATCATTATAAACTTTACAAATTCTCTGCTCGATATAACATATATAATTGTATGTTGGATATATTAGATCGTACTATATATACAGAGTTTCCAGTTTTTCCACAAAATTTTACTAGTATATATTATAAATAAAAATAAGAAAAAAATATGATATAACAGTCTGGTGTTTCATCGAATATATTACTGATATTTATTTGTATATGTAACAATAATATATACTGATCTTACTTTTTACCTGAAAGATTAACAGCACAGTCTTTGTAGATTTCATACAAAATAAATTATAGCCAGAGTTAGTTGGAGATATTCCATTATTGTTTCGTTAACATTAATGGATCCAATGGTTGTCTAGTACATTATGCATTATCAATACAATAATGGTTAAATGATCACTGAATTTTTACTTGTGGGGGAACAGGAAAAAAACATTTAAAAGTACATGTTTAAATAACATTTTTTTTTTCATTTTTACTTTTAGAATATGCTGGTAAAATTTTTCGAATAAAACTGGGATACCCTTTATATACATGATTGGTATTTTATAATAATAATAATATTTAGAATAATTTAAGAAGTATTTTATGAATATAAAATATTGGTTAATTTGTAACCTTAATTTGGAACAATTGTTGCTATAACGACTAAGGAAGTAAATAAAATTTGAAGTTTTACAATTTTTCTATCTTCAGAAAAAACTGCAATTCTATCTTATAAATAATAAAGCTTCAATACGTAAAATATAATGCATAAAATTTAATACAAAAAGATTAAATTTGCATTAGAAGATATTGTATAACATTGATTAAAAGTATAAGTGTGTTCAAGGGGATAAATTATGTATTCAATGTTACACATGCTATTCTTTTACAATAGATCATATTCCGTTAAGTAAATCTAACATACGATTATGAAATATATATATATTTAATTTTACATATGTTTTGTCATTATATTTATTTTGATTTTATCATTGAAATATTTATGGTTATGTATTTATTATAATGATCTTTTCTATGTTTATTTTCTATAATGCAGATAACTTATTATTATAACTAAATTGATCTAATGCATATTTATACAATTGGATTTACGAAAAAAAACGTAATAAGAAGAAAAATTAAATTGTAAAAATATATGTACAAAAAAACAGGAAAATGTCAAAGTTAAGAATCTCTTTAATCGTATTGAAGTAGCACATATAGTAAAGGAAAACATGAATACCAAAATAAACATGGATAGTGCAAATATTTTTATTATTACCAATATCCCTGTGAGAAAGCATATCTATTATAGATTTATTTATGTTATATCATAAAAATGTGTTTGTATGATTTTTATAATTGTAATTTTGGAAAGTATGCTCAAGTAAAAGAATTAATAATTAAAAGTTTAATTATAAAATTGAACATATATTTGAAATCATAAAAATTGGTTTTTATCATATAGTACTTGTTATACATCATAGTATTTTTGTATTCTAGACAACTATGGATGAAAAGTACGTAGAAACCATTTGGACCTTACTAAAAAATGCCATCCAAGAGATACAAAAGAAAAATAACTCTGGTCTTAGTTTTGAAGAATTATATCGGAATGCATATACTATGGTGTTGCATAAATATGGTGAACGCCTTTACACAGGATTAAAAGAAGTAGTGACACAACATCTTGAAAATAAAGTACGAGACGATGTTTTATATTCGCTTCATAATAACTTTTTACAAACATTAAATCAAGCATGGAATGATCACACAACTTCAATGGTAATGATCAGGGATATTTTAATGTACATGGATAGAGTTTATGTACAACAAAATGATGTTGACAACGTATATAATTTAGGACTTATCATATTTCGAGATCAGGTAATACTTTAATATCTTATAATATGGAATTATTTCTTTGATGAAACTTTTTTATAAATATAAGAATATTTTATAGGTGGTTAGGTATGGTTGTGTAAGAGATCATTTGAGAGATACATTATTAGGTATGATTGCAAGAGAAAGACACGGTGAAGTCGTTGATCGAATCGCTATAAAAAATGCATGCCATATGCTAATGTTACTTGGCATTAATAGTCGTCAAGTTTATGAAGAAGATTTTGAAAGGCCTTTTTTACAGCAAAGTGCAGAATTTTACAGAGTAAATGCTATATAAAATTATATTCGATTATCCTTTATAACTTCTTTATTCATAAATAAAAAATATATATTATTATCTTTTCTAGATTGAATCTCAAAAATTTTTAGCAGAAAATAGTGCATCTGTTTATATAAAGAAAGTAGAAGCAAGAATTTATGAAGAATCGGAAAGAGCGAAACATTATTTAGATGAGTCTACGGAACCACGAATAGTTGAAGTTGTGGAAGAAGAATTAATCAAAATCCATATGAAGACTATTGTTGAAGTATAATTGCTTTTTTTTTTTTTTCTTATTAATGCAAATGGGAGAGTATATTGATATTTTTATTTTCATTAACAGATGGAGAACAGTGGTGTAGTACACATGCTTAAAAATCAGAAAACAGAAGATCTTAGTTGTATGTATAAATTATTCTCAAGAGTAACAGATGGTTTACGTACAGTTTTCGACTGTGTATCTCAGTTCCTTAAAGAACGAGGACGTGCTATGGTTCAAGAGGAACACGAATCAACAACAAATGCTGTACACTTTGTGCAGAATTTATTGGATTTAAAAGACCGTTTTGATCATTTTCTTCATTATTCATTCAATAATGATAAACTTTTTAAACAAATGATATCCTCAGATTTTGAATACTTTCTCAATTTAAATACTAAAAGTCCAGAATATTTATCTCTATTTATAGATGATAAATTGAAAAAAGGTTCTAAAGGGGTTAGTTTTTCTTTGCACTGGCCATATGATAAATTCTTTAATCATTACGATTCTCTATAATATGAAATAATTATAAATTTTAGATGACTGAACAAGAAATTGAAGGTATCCTGGACAAAACAATGGTTTTGTTTAGATTTCTTCAAGAGAAGGATGTTTTTGAACGGTACTATAAACAACATCTAGCAAAACGGCTTCTTTTAAATAAATCAGTATCAGATGATAGTGAAAAAAATATGATATCTAAACTTAAGGTATTAATAATGTTTTATCTATATTAATTTAATAATCTTTCCTTCAATTTCCTATACTCTCTATATATAATATTTTATTAAATATAATATATTTTAATATTATAATTATATATATTATATATTATATATATATAGAGTGATATTCACTAACTCTTGCCACCAAGATAGCGCCGAAAATATGATAGTAGCAGAAAAAAACTAACGTCATATTATGCTCCAGAATTTTTCATGCAACTTTTGTTCTATAAACTTTTCTGCTACTATCATACTTTTGGAGCTATCTTGGTGGAAAAGGTTAATGAATCACTCTATATTTATATTATAATATATATATTATAGACTGAATGTGGATGCCAATTTACATCTAAATTAGAAGGCATGTTTAAGGATATAACAGTTAGCAATACTATTATGGATGAATTTAAGGATCACGTTCTTACTTCTGGGGTAAGACTTTAAAAATTATTTTTTCAATATTCATTGAATATCTTATTAGTTTTAATTCTTTTTATTTATATTCTCAATAAAGACAAATTTACATGGTGTGGATATAAGTGTAAGAGTACTCACAACTGGTTTTTGGCCAACACAATCTGCTACTCCTAAATGTAATCTACCAAGTGCACCACGAGGTGCATTTGATGCCTTTAGACGTTTCTATCTTGCTAAACATACGGGACGTCAATTGACATTACAACCACAATTAGGTTAGTACTTTGCATTTCGTTTAGTTTAGAGACGATTATAGTAACAATGATAATTAAAACTGTGATAAATAAAAGATAAATACTATTAATATGAATTATTTACAGGATCTGCAGATTTAAATGCTATATTTACTGGCCAAAAAAAAGAAGAGAGTAGCTGCGGAATAGGATTGGATACGCCATCTTCTTCTGGTTCCATTATAAATGGAAATAATAATGGCAGTAATAGTTTATTAAGTCAAAGAAGCAGCGTATGTGCAAGCGGTGTAAGAAAGCACATAATTCAAGTTTCAACTTACCAAATGTGTGTGTTGATGCTTTTCAACAAAAGAGAATCATTGACTTATGAAGTTAGTATTTAATATAATGTTTTCTTTATTCATCTAATTTTATATAATTTAAAAATTATTAATATTTTAATATCATAAGATATATTATTAAATTAAAATATTTATTTAATTTTGTACGAATATACAAATACGATCATGTATACAAACACATACATATACGTGTTTATGTATGTATGTACATATGTACGTAAATATATATATAGATATATATATATACATATATATAAAAATACATTGTGTAGGAAATTCAAGGTGAAACCGATATTCCAGAGAGAGACTTGGTTAGAGCTCTACAATCTCTTGCAATGGGCAAATCGTCACAGAGGGTATTAATCAAAAATCCTCGAACCAAAGAAATTGAACCTTCACATACCTTCGGTGTAAATAATAGTTTCTCCAGCAAATTGCATAGGTATATTTAATTAATTAATGATAAAAGCAAAAATGGGAACTCTCTTGAATTTACATTTATGCTCGCAGCAAGTTTATTGCATGATATCTTGATTTTTTAATTAAAAGAATTTTTATTTGTATTACATATGTATATATTACTTTGTATTATTTCATTTTATTATAGACAATGTGACTTGAAAATTAATTACACTTTGTATATTAGTTTCATAAATATATTTATACTTTTAATAAACATATACTTTTTTGCGAAGAGTTAAGATCCAGACTGTGGCAGCAAAAGGAGAATCGGAGCCAGAAAGAAGAGAAATGCGTAATAAAGTCGATGAAGACCGGAAGCATGAAATCGAAGCAGCTATTGTTCGTATCATGAAAGATCGAAAGCGTATGCCGGTGAATATAATCAATTTTCTATATATAAATTTCGTCATTAAAATACGTATGTATAATAGTGTGGTTCGTAATTGGGCTTTCTGAAGAATTTTGCACTCCAGTTTACCACGAAATAAATAATTAAAAATTATCTTTATATTTTAGCATAATATACTCGTAACTGAAGTAACACAACAATTAAAAGTACGGTTTCTGCCATCCCCTGTTATTATTAAAAAGCGTATCGAAGGTTTGATTGAACGAGAGTACTTAGCTCGTACGACGGAAGATAGGTATGTGCAATATATTTATAATGTAATTTATTTAATCATATTAGCAATCATTTAATTTTTTATTATTTTGTATTTCTTCTTGTACTTCTAGGAAAGTATATACGTACGTTGCTTAATGCTGAGTTCAAATATTGGAACTGTACAAAAGTGTAAGTAATTTGTAATAATGTATACCATTTAATTATATCATCGATTCATTATATGCATTATACTTTAAACAAATAATTTCCATTATTATTGATATATCAAAACACTTTCATCATTCTCACCATCATCACCACCACCATCATCTATAATGTGTAAGAATCATTACCACTACTATTGCTTTCTCCATGTAATAATTATATATCTGGCATTCTGTATCAACAAGAAACATTTTTCTTTAGAGTAGAGGGCTGTTTGTTTATTTATGGATTATTAAAATAGATTTTTGTTAATTGATCTTCTCTCTGTAACATCAACTGCCATTTTATATTTTAGGTTGAGAAGTTGTACTTACGGTATTGTAAATGATAATTATGCCATTTTCATTTTCTTTTATTATAGCGAGCAATGTTTTTTTTTGTCATGATATATGTTATTTCAAAGTTGTAATTGGTCTTTTATCTATAAAAATGTTATAATAACTTTGTTTTCTTTTTTTTTAATTTGTTTACATTATTTTTTGTAAAAAAAAGAACATGCGATGCAAATAGTTGTAAATAAAGTAAAAAAAAAGAAAAATATACAGATACAAATTTATAAAAAATAAATAAAGAAAGAAAAAAGAAAATAGAGTAAAGTTTGTAATAATACCGTTTGTTTATGAACGTCTCAATGCAATCCGTCTTGATGACTTAACAAAATATGGTATTATCATAAAATAAACTTAAGAGTTAATATTAATTATATAAAGTTATATGAGATACATATAAAACGAAATCTAGAATTTAAAGTGGAACTTTTGAGTGCAGTATGATTCATTTAAAATAACGTTCTAAATATATTGTTTAAAAAAAGAAATCATTGCGTTGAAGAAAGACGTTTCTCGTTGGTTAATGAATGCCTAAATAAAATATCAAAATATTGAAATAGATTATTAAAAAATTGATTAGTTTGGTGGGAAAAAAATCGATGCACGTTGAAAGCACCAATTTGTAATATATTGAATTTCACACAGATGTTATTTACTTTTTTTACATGTTTTTTTCTTTTATTTGGAATGCAAAAAGAAGTAAATGATATAACATTCATTAGTTTATTACTAATTCCATTTTGATAAATAAATAATGTAAAATTTATATAAGGATTATAATATATATCTATTATTGTTGTATGTGTAATTTTTTTGTTTTTGATTATTATAGTTAATTAAAGAGAGCATAAAAAGAAAACTTTACTTACATCATTTTATTTAAAAAACAAATGTAATATGTGTTCAGTATTGCATACTGATTATCAGTATTATATTATCAAAAGACGAGATCTGTGATTAAAGGGGAAGCTCGCGCGAGCGCGCGTATTAAAACAATACAATTAATAAAAGATAAGAATTAGCGGAGCAAATGAAATAAATCTCGATTCAAATTCATCTGATCATACTTCGTCACTACATATTTGCTTTTCATAGTTGAGAAGAATTTCTTTAGTAGGAATTAAAAAATAAAAAAAGAACTAAACATTGTTCTTCTTTCGTTAATTCTTTCAAGTTTGAATTCTCCGATATATGTAAATTTAAACTGCTATATAAAAGCAATGTAATACAACAAAAAAATAGAAATCCTACATATTCGAAGATGTTATTATTAAGTCCAAGACTGTTGCGAATTATTTAAAAAAAAAAAAAGAAGAAAATGATTGACCACTTATGTGCTTGCTTTCAATGATTCTAAATCTTATTTTTTTTTTCAAGATCTATCTATACGTTATCAAATTAAAAATTATGTAATAGGTATACTTGCATGCAATTCGTCAAAAAAAAAAAAAACAAGAAAATAATGTATTTTAAAATCTAGATATTCAAATCTTATTAAAACAAAATAAAAATGCCAATATTCTTTTACGACAAATAAATGCCAATAAATATAAATATATATATATATATATATATATATAAATAATATCAAAAATGCATGTAGTTATATTATGAATATGAAATAAAATGGAAAAACAGACTGTAGAAATAAATCACTTGAAATTCTAATTAAGTTAACATTGAAGTTTAATAATATCTATTTATTTTTTCGTGTGTTTTTAAGTATTACTATGTCTATTAGTCCCCATACATGGTTTATATGTAAGATAATCAATACGCCAAACCACGTCACACGGGTTATTCAAGTTTCAATTATGAAGTATCTTATTGTAAAGGGTACAGGTGCGTATATCCTAAGCGTCGAAGCTTTTAAGATAAATGAATATGAAAAAATTAGAAGAAAACAAAATTTAAAAAAAAGTAAATACGTCTTGTAATTTTTCATTGTGCTTTCACGTGTATCACATTGTTGAACAATAATTCATGCTATTATTGTTCCAGTTCCATTAATTAATTAACATCATTAATCTTTTCCACCCAGCTTATCGATTGAGAATGGTTTGATTACTCATCAACTTCGATACATTACAACGTGTTTATTGTGTAGTACGCCAAAATGTGGGATCTTCAAAAACTGTGTAAGACATGCAGAGTTATGTTAAGATGGAAAATATACGCGCATGAGCTTGAATTAAAATGAGGAATTTTTAAAATGAGAAAAGACAAGAAAAAAAAATAAAAACACAGAACACTCAACAATGTTACCCTGGCTCATGTATTGTAGAAAGTAAAAAAAGAGGAAGCAAATCTGCAAATGTCATATTTTTTATTTTCATTTATACTACCTTCTTTATTTATTACGATAGAATTTTAATACGTCAATACAAGTTTTTCTCTTTCTTACGTAAAAAGGAATAAAAAAAAACAAAAAAACAAAAACTTAATAAAAAATAAAAATCTTTATAAAGATTTTTTGTCTTCATAATATAATATATTTACCTAACTCAATATTAGTTTTTGTATAAACTTAAAATAAAAACGTATCTGCGAAAAAATAGTTAAACAAGAGATAAGGATAATTAACATACCTGTAAATTAAAAATTAATCCCTATTATTAATAATGTTAACATTATTTCGTTTGGACTTTCGAATCGATATTACATTATTCAATGTCTAAGACATTTTGTTCAGTATTTGTAATTATAGATTTAATCTTTTCAGTCGATGTAAAAAATCAGTGAAAAAAAAAAAAAAATAAAATGCCAACGAGTTGTTCATATCGTATAACAATATATGTAGTGAACACATTACAAAATCTTCTCCGTAATATTTGTTACTTCTTTATGAAGTGTGAATATATTACATAGTTTCGACTTCATAAATAAATAATTTTATCGACAGAAAGAATTCCGTTCTTATTTTTTGTTTTTTTTTTTTATTTATTTATTATTGAAATAATTTTTCTGATATATAAACGCATATAATATTGAAATAATATATGAAAACAAAAAATCTTACAATAAAATTCTACTTGCACTATACACATTTTTATAACTGACTGATTTTATATTAAAACATTCTGGAAAAAAATGTAATAGATCTTGAAAGTTTCTAACAATGAGAACAGTATAAAGATGTTATTTGTTAATTTAAACATACAATTTTATTTTCATATATAATTTTTGATATTACTTATTTTATGGGGGAGCAAGGGGAACTATATATATAAGCACCCTTATTTTTATCTTCGATAGAAAAAGTGTCTGCTTGTATATTATTATCTCAAACTATAGTCCTTATTTTTAAAAAATACACTTTTTACGGAAGTTTAATGTTCTTATTATTCTTGTGTATTTATATATATATATATATATATATTTTTTAAAGTTCATTTACGATTTCAAATAATATAAAGAAGTATATTTATTTTTTATATTACGTCATATTGTAATATTAAATATCATCTTCTTTTTGTATATTCACGTAAGTTTTTTTGTAAACTCTACTATAAAAGTAGATTTCTTGGAAAGCATTCATAAGTTACAAGAAATATATATAGAAATAGTTTGCAATTATTCTTAAATAAATGTTAACTATAATCAAGAAAAATTATTATCATTCAATATTATAAAAGAATGTAATAAGTTTATAATATTGTCATCTCCATTATGTGCTGGATATAACAGTGCAAAGATAAAGTTAGAGAAGCTATTTAAAAAATGATGACAATTAATACAAATATAATTCGTACTAATTGATGTGACGAGTATCTACCATAAACATCAATTTCCTAAACAACTTTTTAAAACTGTGTTTCTCAAATTTTGAAATTTTATGTATATCCTGGACATGTATATGTAACTGGTGTATTCTTAATACATATATAATTATATAACAATGGGAATCACACAAATGAACATATCACATATACGTACATATATATATATATGTACACATTAAATTTGGTATTTATAAATTACATACAAAATGTCTTAGATTGGTTGACCCATACTCCAGAACTTCAGAATTGTATCGAAGAGATTTTTCTTCTTTTTTGTTGGAACTCTCGTATGGCGCACCCTCAAAGTTTTACCATTCTTTGAGAAACACTGCTCTAAAAAATAGCGTTGAATAATTGCAAACAATGATATCACTTAAGTCTGCCTTATACAAGCTTATGAATGTCGAATAAAGTAAATTAATTATACTATTCAAAATGCTACACATATATATAATTATGAAAATAAATAGGAACGTAAGGTAGATAAACAAAAAATCTTGTTAGAAATGTGGAAAGCATATGTTTGCCCTCTTGTTTTATATAATTACTTTTAAATTTGTTAATAATTGATATTTCATCAAAATGTTTTTTTGCTTTTTTTTTTTTCAATTTCCATAAGTCTTCAATATATGCATAGATGACATTTCAATACATGCTATAAAAATTTAAGAAATGCAATATATGATGGTTTATATTTTTAAATACTTTGAAATTAATTTTCGTGTAATTATGATGATAATCTACCCAAACTTAAGAATTAAAATACAGTATAAGACTTGTTTACAATATCATACAGTTATTTTATTATAATTTACTTTACTCTGAAAAGTTCTTTCCACCTTATTAAACATTACAATTGCATATATTCATATCCTCCTTATCAACCAATACTGTACACGGGCATTCTCGATTCCACATATGACAGACCGGCATAAATCGACTCGCAATGAATTAACTGAGGTGGCAGGCATCGTGGTGAGAAAGGCCTACCATTTGGGATTATTCATTTGAGGATGATGATTCTCGCCTTTTTTCTGCATGTTTTTTTGTAAAATCTTCTGCATTTTTTAGAAATTTCTTTCTATCTTTAAGAAATTCTTCGGCTAAATCTGCTCTTAACGGATGTTCTGGTTCTGGATCATTTACTAAAGCTATTAAAGCTTGTATCACTGTAAAACAATAACATAAAGTTGTAAATACTTTTTAAAATCTTTCACTTCATTTATTTATATATTTTTTATAAATTTCCATTATAATAGAAAAAGCATTTGTCAAACTGCTATCGAAAAGTAAATTAATTTTCTTTTGATTGATGATAATTATTTCCTTCTTAAATGCTAATCTTACCCTGATCTGTTTTTGTTGCTGGCTTCCAATTTTCAGCGCTTATAATCGGTAAACATACTTGTCCTTTTTCATCCACATTTGGATGATAAATTTTTGTTTTAAAATTTATCCTTGGTGGCTTAAAAGGATACTCTGCAGGAAAATTTATTTCGATGCGAAATGCTCCCTTATTATAAGGAGCATTGTCCTATGAATATAACATATATAATTATTACAAACAATACGTTTATAAGAATATATATATGTGTGTAGAAATAGAAATATAAGTATGAAATTATATTAAATACAAAATTACTTATGTTTCTATTTTTGTATTTTATATATATATATAAAATACATTTATTTTTGTATTCATATATATATATATCTATAAGATATAAATTAAATCTTTTTCTCTTTTTTTGTCAGTAATTGGCAATTGTTTCATGGATTGATATTTTAAAACGATAAAATTATAACAACATCATAAGATAACATAATTCTGAAATAAAAATCACAATGTGAAATGATTTTGCATAATCTATAAATCTTTACGTTTATATATTTAATTAAGGTTAGGTTAATAATAATAAAAAAGTAATAAAAAACATAAACATACCGGCAATATAAGTCCTTGCCAAGTAAGAATATTTGATTCATCTACTTGAATTGTAAAATTTTTCATTGCAGAGGCTCTCAGATCGCCTAATTCCTGGAAAAGATAGTGTCCATATTATTATCTCATGATATAGATGCTCTTCTTTTAATACGTTTAATATTAAATTTAACCCGTAGATTAAGAAAGTAAAAAATTAGATCTTTTATTCCTTAAAGACAGAAAGTCAAAAATAAAGAAAAATACGAAGTGGCTATATATATATAGTAAATAATAAAATATAAGTTCATATTAAATGATAATATAAAACAATGTTATTAACTTTTTGAACGGCGTCGAACAACTCTAAGGACTACAAAGAAAAAATACTAGATATATCATATCATTATCGTAACATTTATAGAAATTATTAATTAATATTAAATATATCTATATTTTTTTTACAATCAAATCTAAAGAATGATGCTTATATTGTTAGGAACTTTAATTTACCTTTTGCAATCTTTTTATAGCTGCCATTTTGAAAATAGAGTCTTCTGAAGGCAGTAAAAATCGTCAAGTTAACCAGTGACCAGTGCTGCCTATAGTTAGAACCTTATTCGTCAAATTGAAATTTCAGGTCTGCTAACTTGGAAGATATTTCTAGCAGAAAATTTAAATATCTGTAATGACAATCTTTTACAATATTATTATTTGCATAATCATGAAACTATTATCATTTTGCGCGCTTGAATATAGATTCTTTTTAAATGAAAATATTCAAACTAATATTCGTGAAGGTTTTAGAATAAACGAAAAAGAAGTGAGAATTTGTTTATAAATATTATTAATACCTGTTAATATGATTATAATTATTCTCGATACCCACCACGAGCACAGCACGCGCCTTGAGCACTAAGCAATCACGCTCAAAGCAGCCAATTGGAAACCGCTAATTTTACTGCCATGTTAGCAAAGCGTCCCGACTGAACTTATAGCTTTAAAACTTTTATAACTATAATATACGTTTATCGTATTATAATGAGCTTATTAATTGCACTTCATCGTCTCCTACGTAATCAATTTTTACTTTCGCTAATTGACGTCAACTTCTTTTAAAATAGCTAGAGTGATCGGGAAAATTTTCAATTTTCCCGCTAACGCCTCGTACCCGCTGGGTGCCTGGCTGACTTCCTATACGAGATTCGCTTCATATATGTATATGTAAATATACTTGTGTAGCCTCACACATTACCTTACAGCAATTAACGTTCAAATTTCTGTTGAAATCATGGCCGCAAGTTGAATGTGCGGCAAATTTTGTTCACGCTATAATACCAGCGTTTCAACATTTTTAAAAACGTTAATATTCTATTAAAATTATATCTGGTGTTTTCTAAAAATAATTTTAAGTTTATAAATCGTTTTATATAAATCACCAAAATGTCAGAAGGTAATTATTTGTTTGTAGATTTTGTAAGAAAATTTATAGTGAAATCTAACCTAATTTTTACATTGTTATATGTTTTATTTAATAATTTAATTTAGACTAAATAAAAGACTATGATGTAATTTACAAATTTAAAAGAATCGTTTTTTTTTTGTATCAAACTTTTTAATATCAGTTACACATTACAGTTACTCATTTATCTGATAACTAAATTATATGCTAAGTTTTTTGGAATTGATAGTACAAGCGAGCAAGGGATGATTCTACATGAAAAACTAAATCGGAAATATAGAATACGATTTGTTCATATAAGACTTCGTTTTCGAGAAAAATAAGTTTGACAACTTGTTAAATGCATACATATCGCCCCCTGCTTGTTTATATTATCGGTTACAGGATACCTTGTGAATACATACATATGTGTACATATATACGTGGAAGGTTTAAAAAGTTTTGAATCCCTACAATAAACTTTTATTATTTTTGTTTTAAAGATAGTGAGTTTGACTGATAAAGAAATAGAGTCTAGGCTAAACTATATTTTTCAATCCTCTCACTTATATGTCTGTTTCTAATAATTTATAATAAATTTTTGTATAGAAGAAACGAGTACGGAAGATATATGGACTCCATATAAAGAATTACAAAGTCTTGTAGTACGATGCATCACATTGGCACCTAGTATGCACGATCCTCAATATCATGAATTCATAGAAGCATTGAGAAATCATAGACAGAACTTTTTTACGCTCTTAAAAAATCCTGTAAGTATAGCATTAAAAAAGTAATAATTTAATTTCATATAAATTAATAAAAATTAATTTGTGTTGTTTGTTCATTAGCCAAAAAATATTAATAGCCGCAATGAAATTAAGAAAGGCGTAACGGATGGTATAACATTACCTGGTCTAGGACATCAAGTGCTATCAAAAGAATTGGTAGATGAAACTTTAATTATATCGGATATGTATGACTTGAATGAATTCATGGCCCTAGATCTTTTATGTACTGCCCAACTTCAAATGCCACATTACCCTGGTTTAACCAGAGGTTTAACTGCTGTACTTTTGTATTATGATGGGAGGAAAGCATTAACTACTACTTTGAAGACCTTAGTGCAAGCTAGAATGGGACATAGCTGGGCTCTCGATGCACCGCAAACTCTTACAAAATATATTACTGAATATACTAATAAATTACAAGAAGATGGTTTATTAGATAGAATTATTACTTTACTAGAAGACATGGATCCCATACAGGTAAGATCAAAAAATAGTATTTTAAATATAGTTACTTTTATTAATAACTTATTTAAACTACTATAAATTACAGTATAATAAAGTATAATATTATTTAACTTATTAACAGGAACAAGATCTTCTACAACAAAATAGAGCATTGGGAGGAGCGAAACATCATCGTATGGTTATGAAACTTTATAACGATACTAGACAAGATTTAGCAGATATTTTGTATTTATGGTCTGCCCAATCATCTTTACCTAAATCTATTTTCTTTCGTTTATTGTCGGTGTTACAATCACGTCAAGTTGAATCTGAAGCTGGAGAAGGTGGTCCCGATAAAGTAACATTAACTCTCATTATGGCCATATTATATGCTGTAAATCTCAGTCCACTAAATAATCGGGAAAATGGTGAAGGTATTAAAACTTGTTTTCTATTGTTTGATAATATGAAGTTTTTCCTGAATATTATTCTATTAAAATCTTTTTTTTTCAGATATAATTAGCTCTATTCCCTTGATCACGGAGAGAGGAGCATTAGATGATGTAAAACAAAAAATATTATCCAATAGTATTACTTGGGAAAGTACAGGATTGCGTGGACTTGTACAATTTGCTTTAGCAGTTGCCATAACAACTTTAAAAACTATAAGCAACACTTATCAACCACAGCATATTAATAATGACGATGAAATTTTGGTCGAAACAGCTTTATCTAATAAAGTTTTCCATTTCATGGCCGAAATTTTATTAAAAAATACTTCTGTACACCACGAAGAATTTTATATGCGTTATTTTCATACTCTTCTATCTGATTTTATATTATTAATGCCTCTAAAAATTAAGGAATTGAGAAGTCGAGCTGATGAATCAATGCGTTTGATACAAGCTTATCAACAAGAAGGTGTAGAACCGCCAATGAATTTAGACAATCACTTTGAGTATCTTTTGCTGACAATAGCAGAGCTATACAAAAAAGATCCATTAAAATTAAATTTAGCTATGGATTATTGGTGTCAACATTCAGAATCAACTCACGTTTCTGCCTCTGTACATATTGGACGATTACCTCCTAGACAAGTTGCTTTATTTAAATTTATACGATTAGCTGGAGAAATTCTTCCTGCTGGTCTTTTTGTATCATATCTTAAAATGATTGCATCCCTTGCTTCATCACCTCCAGCTGCACGTCAAGCATTTAATTTTCTTAAACCAAATGGTAAGATTAATTTTTTACTATTTTTATCTTATATGAAAAGATATAAAGTATCTTTTTTTATATTTCAACAGGGTCTTCAACTTCGTCAACAATTTCCTGGGATCACTTTTTTAATTCTTTGAATCGCTATTATTACAACTTACGACAAGAATTACCACCAAGTCAAGATACAGTATATAGACAAAGAAGTCACCCGAAAGGTATCACACCTCACGAAGTTAAAGGATTAGAGGCTGTGCTTAGAGTTGTACAAATAATTGCAAAATATGATGAGATGTCCAGAGTAGCAATATGTGATCATCCAAATTGGAAAGTACTTCAGTCTTTAATAGGATTGGTTAGCTGTGCAATGCCAATTCCATTAAAAGGTGTTTTAATAAGAACTCTTGCTGCATTAGCAAGATCGCCGGATAGTTCTTCTACAGTTTGGCAAAGTTTAGAAGCTGCACAAATTCTTTCGACTATACCGACAACTAGTAGTTATCAACCACGAGGAGTACAAACAGAATTGGAAGAAATTGAATCAAGAAACGAAGAATATCCTTTGACACGAGCAATGCTAAAACTTTTAGATATTTTGACAGATTATCCAATTCCACGTCTTTTGGGTGTTGGACAACGAAATCCAGGATTTGATCCGTATCTACATTTTCTTATTAATATCGTATTTCTAAGATTTCACACACGCTCATATAAAAATGCTGCCGAGAAATGGAAAGTTGCGAATGGATGTTTAAAAATATTTTCTAAATTGATCAAACAATACGAGCCATCTTTAGAAGATTTTATGGGATGTAAAGTTGAATTACAAGGAGGTGATATGACTGTAATCAATTCTGCTCCTGGATATCATTTAATGACGCAATTACATTCTACTAACTCTGAGTTACTTCATGTAATACTCTATATTCTTGATGAAGGATATCATCAGTTTGATACATACGATATTTTCCCTGGGAAAAAATATCTTGAATATAGTACGCTATGCTGTTTGGAAATATTAGATCGGACTTTGAAAACACAACATCAATACATGACACAGTTAGCGTCAGCAACCAGTATGAATAAAATCGTAACTGGTCTTTCGCGTTTATTATTAGGAGTTAATATGCGGACTGGAAAACCTGATCATATGATAAATATTGTTAATTATGTCTCTTATAATTCTTGGCTAGCACGACATTCATATGTCGCAGTTGGTGTTGTACAAAGTGTTGCCAATGAACCAGGTGCAGATTTAGAATTATTATCAACATTTACAGCTACTAATTCGTTGGTAACAAATATTAGGCACGGTTTCGTTGAGTGTTTAGATATGGATTATACACCTGCAGATGAGGATGATATAAATAATGATGAAAAAGCAGATGTGGAAAATTGCAAAGAAAGAATTTTATTATTAATGATGCAAAGTATTACACGGCCTGCACCTAATCTTGCTCATTATTTGCTTGGATTTGAGATCACTAAGGACATTCGAAAAACAGTTATTCAACAACCTGGAATTTTAGGCTTTCCACGAACCTGCTTGCATTCTGTTTTGGGTATTTTAGAACAATCTTTGGATAACGGTCGTGATAAGATTACAGAAATGTGTTATTGTTACTTGCATACATTAGTGGCTAATAATAAGACATCAATACCAGTTCTAAGATTCTTACGAACTGCGACTAATCAAGATTTTGTACAAAGGCATTTATCAAAATTA